TTCCCCTCCTCCTCCTCCTCCTCCTCCTCCTCTTCCTCCTCCTCCTTTTATTATTGCCTTTTTAAGACATGGCTTCACTATGCACTTCAGGCTGGCCTTGAACTCACTTTGTTGCCAAGTCTGGCCTCCAAGTCATAGCAACCCTCCTGCATCAGTCTCCTGAGTGCTGGGATTATAGGTATAAACCACCACACCAGGCTCAGATTTTCCTAATATTAAAACATGCAAAGATGTCAAGCTTTCATGACATTGGGTTATTACCTTTTATTTTATCTTTATATCTCTAGATAGGAAGATGTATAGGCTATATATACATGAATTTAATATTTGTAGCATATTTGAAGTTTTATTTGAATTTATGATATGTAAATAAGTTATCTTACATATTGTTTTATGTACATGATTTTTCTGTGTTTTAAATATTGTACTTTTGAAATTATGTTCTTTACATATAGAAAGTTTTAGGGCTGGGGAGATGGCTCAGCAGAATAAGTACTTGCCTGGTAAGCACAAGGTCCTGTGTTTGATCCTTGGTACCACCAAAAAAAAAAAAAAAAAAAAAAAAAAAAATTACCTCTGGAAAAAAAATGCACAAGAATTTTGGAAGTTCAATCCCCAGACCTGCCATGCCAGCTCCACCCCCAGAGCACACTGAGATGGCTGTAATCCCAGCTCTTGGGAGGCTGTAAACAGGCAGATCATGAGTCCGATCTAGTAGTGAGACCCTGAACACCCTGTAGAACCTTCCCTAAAATACAAAGAAAAAAAAAAAAGAAAAGATTTAGGGCTGGGAAGATAGCTCAGTAGAATAAGCGCTTGCCTGGCAAGCACAAGGAACTGAGTTCAATCCCCAGCACCTTAAAAAAAAATTCAGAGAAGAATAGAGGGACAGATTGACACAAAGAATGAAGAGGAAAGCCTACTGTTTTATTTATTTATTTATTTATTTATTTATTTATTTATTCATTCATTCATTTATTTATTTTGCAGAACCGGGGATTGAACTCAGGTCCTTGTACTTGCCAGGGAAGCGCTTATTCCACTGAGCCATCTCCCTGGCCCCCCTACTATTTTAAATTATTACAATATCAAACATTGCTATTACTTTTTCTTTTATTAAACTGATGGTGATATTAAAGACTTCAAGCATGTAACTTTTCACAAAATGTTTTACACAGCAGACAGGAAGGGCACCTGTGCAGAATGAATTGGGAGACGCCACAAAGCTCAGAGTATTGCACTCATGCTGGCATTTTCTCTACATACTCCTTCATCATAAATTCTGAGTTTAGTTTTGGTCCCTATTTTTTTATTTTTTTTATTTTAGGGAAGGGTCTACAGGGTGCTCAGGGTCTCACTACTAGATTGGACTCATAGTGATCCGCCTGTTTACAGGCTCCCTAGGACTGGGATCACAGGCACGTGCCACCACACCCAATCTCAATTGCCCTCTCAGTGCACCCCGGGGGCAGGGCCAGCACAGCAGGCCTGGGCATGAACTCCCTGGCTTCTGTGCCTGCTTGCAGGTGCTTTAATCTGCTGAGCTCTCTGGCCAGCTCTTTCCTCCCTAAATTTGGTTTGAAAAAATATTTTATTATTAAAAGAAGAAGATAATAAAAATAATGAAAAAACATAGATTCTATGTCTAGCAATATTTATTTATGTAGTGTTTAGAGGCAAGCACTAGTGACAGAAGTAAGTTAAGCTGTTTGATTTCAAGAAGCTCCTTCATCAAAAAAATTTTTTGATTCAGGGTCTTGCTGTGTGGTTCTGACTCGTACTCATCTTCCTGTCTCAGCCTCCCCAGCATTCCAGTTATAGGAGTGTGCCATCATAACCAGTGTTGGTGGCTGGCAAGGCACACCTGAGGCTCTGGAGTGGCACGGCATGCAGGCCTGGGGTTTTAATTCAGGATCTTGAGCTTGCCAGGCAAGTGCTTATATGGCCAAGCTATTTCCTGAGCCCCCAAGAAACTCATTTCTTGTTGCAAGTCTATAGCCAGCATTATCATATTGAAATACATAAGACTATAGGACTTCTCTGCTTCTCTTTCAGATTTTTGTTTGTTTGTTTCAGTACCAGGGATTGAACTCAGGACCCTGTACTTGCCAGGCAAGCACTTTTGCCACTGAGCTATATCACAGGCCCTTCTCTCAGTTTTATGTTGCTTTGTTGGTATTTGTGTGCTTCCCTAGAACATTCTCTAGCTCACATTCTATCCTTTGTCCCTTTTCTCTTCCACTTGGTAAACATACTCAAAAATTATTTTAAAGTTTTATTCATATTTTGTGCTATTTTTCATGTATCAATATTTATTGATATACCTTACATTTCTTATGCAGTTTTTTTCATTTAGTATGTACTTATATACCTTAGATGAATGACTAAATATTGCAGAATTCATGAAAACCTACATAAACATCTAAATGTACAAGCTCCGGGTGAAAACTAGCAGTAAGTGTGCGGGGGGCTGTGTGACAATGTAATTGCATCCCCAACTTAAGGGTAGCTCACGTGTATTTTCAAACAAAAGGCATTTGCCTATGCTTTTCATCTCTAACTTGCACTTTTCTTTTAAACTGAAATCTATAAGCTGAAAACATGTAATTCTGAAAGTATTTCCTTTCCAGGGTATTGGAAAAAAGAAGACAAAAAGAGGAATGATTGTGTTTCCTGGCTTAAATCCATGACAAAAGAAAGGAGGATCAATCCTAGCACAGTTATAAACTCACATTAACTTCTAACACCAGAGTTCAAAGGTGAAGGAAGTTTGTATGAAAACAATAATTCAGTGAGAACATTATAATAGCAAAATATGATTCATCATTATTTGCATCTTTCTTTTTTCTATAAATCCATCATGTATAAACACTGTGAAGGGCCTATATCCTTTAATAAAGACAAAATGAGTGATAATGAGTTTTCTCTTAGCTACCATATTTCCAGTTTGATTTAAAACACAAGGAGATAAGCTTCTTCTTATTCTTTTGAGTTAAAAGTTTGTGTAGGACAAACAATCTTGATCAATACCCAGCTGTAAAACATGAATGGCTTTAGGGCCAGAGAGATAGCTCAGCAGAATAAGCATTTGCCCAGCAAGCGCAGGGTCCTGAGTTCAATCCCCAGTACCGAAAAAAAAAAAAAAATGGATTGACATAGGAAAATAGTGCAAAGATTTTCAGAGCCACCATTTCCAGACAAAAATATTCTGTTAATTTGGTCTATATAGTCAAAAGACAGGTGCAATCACTGTCATTAGATTATTATAAAATAGAATTGGCGAGTCTCAGCCTTCACTGGATTTCCCTTGAAATCTTAAATTTCCTCCATGAAACGATCATGAGGACTTTACAGAACCTTCTCCAAAAACTTCAAGCCATTTTTTAGGCACAGTACAGCACTAATTTGTGTTTTAGTGAAAACAAAATGGCAATCAGCACTTTCATAAATGAAAAATGCTCTTGGTGGGGGTGGACACTCATGCCATCCCAGCCCTTGGCAGACTGGGCAGAAGAATTGTCATTAGTTGAAGCTGAGCCTGAGGTACACAGGAAAATCCTGTCTCAAAAAATCACAGTATGGACTGGGGAGATAGCTTGGCAGTCTAAGTGCCTGCCTGCCAAGCACATGGATCTGGGTTTAACTCCTGGTACACCATGCTGTGCTGGCCATGGAACCCCAGGTGCTCTGTGCCAGCCACCAAAACTGGGCATGGTGGTACACACCTGGGATCCCAGCACTGGGGAGGCTGAGACAGGAAGATCACTACTAGTTTGAGCTGCATAACGAGATCCTGTACTAAATAAATAAATACATTAGAAATCAAAGCAAAAAACCAAAATCTTAATTATCAGAAAATCCTAATATGATTATAAATACATCATATAACAAAATAATTAGTAATTTTCTTTAAGTTCTTGTGTACCATGTACTATTTTAAGTGTTGCTTATATTTTAATCTTTGATTTTCAGTGAAGAAATATTAGGCAAAAAATAAATAAAAATAAGTCAAATATCTATCTATAAACAATGATTTAGGAGAGTTTACTTACTAGGGAGTTCTGGTGGAGGAGTTGGAACCAAAGTTGGCTCTGGATAAAGACTCTGATTGCAAATTCCATGTGTTAAGCTAATGTCGTCCAATGCAATATCACTCAGCATTGGGTTCTTAAGAGCATTAAAAGCAACCTGAAATTCAAAGACACATATGGAGGGAGTGATATTTTTTTTTTATCTCTTTTGATGTTTCTTCTGGCGATGCAGGGAACTCAGTAGACTCAACACTGTGATAGCCCAATGTGTCACAACCAAGTTATCAGAGTGCTCATCTCACCCCCTTCAGGTCAGGTGACAATCTAAATGAGTGTGACTTTATTTCATGTATGAGCATATTCAATTTCAGACTCGAGTGACTTGTCCAAGATTTCACAATGGAATAGCAGAGCTGAAGTGCAGGTACAGTAGTTTCCCTTATGATGAGAGACTATATTCTAACAGTCAGAGTAGAAGCCTGAAATTTCAAACAGTACTGAACCTATGTAGACCATATTACCTTAAATATTGCACATATGACTTTTCATAAAGTTTAATTTATAAATTAGGTATACTAAGATAGATGAAACAACAATACAATAAAGCATTTGTAATAATAAACTATAAGAAACAATATTTAAAATTTATGAATTTTTCATTTCTATAATTTTCCTTATGAAGCTGGGTGTGGTGGTGCACATCTGTAATACCAGCATTCTGGAGGCTGAGGCAGGAGGATCACTGTGAGTTCAAGGCCAGCCTGGGCCACAATGTGAGTTCAAGACCAGCCTCAACTGTAGAGTAAAACTTTGTCTCAAAAATAAAAAAAAAAAAAAATTCTCTTTGAAATTTTTTTACATTTTTTCAGTGTCTATAATTTAAACATGAAAAACAAACTGTGGTTAAGAGCTGGGGGCTTGCTATATCTGTATAACTTGATACTCTCATCCTTCCTAAAAAAGCTAAAAGCAAATATATGCACCCAGTTATATCACTTTAGAAAGGATATTCAGCCAGTGGAGCCAGATTTAACCACTGAAATACTTATTTGCTCTCTTCTAAATCTCTTTGTTCCTTAGATGGGCCATTCCTCCTTAGCATTTTTTCAAGCTTAAGAAAAAAATCAAAATTGAGCAAGAAAACTTCACAGTAAAAATATTTAAAGCAAGAAAGGGAGGAAGGAAAAACAAGAGAAGGAAAAAAAGTGCTAGGGTAAGAATGAGGATGAGGTCATTGTCATCGACGATTGCTTGACGCTCGTAGGTACGATCACAGGATGGAGCTGAAGCCTCTGGTGATGACAGATCGGTACAAATATGTGTCTTAAAAGTGACACTGTCTCACTTGAAAGAACAACCCAATTAGAGCATTGTTAATTTGACCCAACTAATGGACTATATTTTAGTTGCCAAGACCCTTAGGAAGAGAACACATTAAACTGTTATCTGAAAAACTGATTCACCTTAATGTGAAATAAATGATCAGAGACTTCGCAATGATGCAGCTCATAGAACTGTTTCTGGAGGCAATACGTGGGGACGAAGCCACCGAGGGGCAGGGTAGGTGGAGCCCAGCAGGCGTGGGTGTTCTGGTGGAAAAGGGTGACCTCAGGAAGGCTGAGGGCTGACCTGTGTGGGGTCTGTGAAAAGGTGAAAATCTCAGGGTGGCAGGGAATGCAAGAAGGCATTGGTGTTCTGTGCTAAGAGGTTGCTGAGGACAGTTGATCTATATAGATCATTATTAGCTGTACCTTTCAAATAGCAAATTTCTTCCTCCCTGAGTAAAGGGCTTTTTAATAAGTCAGTAAATAAATGAAAATAAAGGTACACAATAAAAAAAATCTAAGACAGATTTGAAAAGTAGATTCAGAAACTTGTCTATCTCCAGAAAGCAAATTTTTAGTTTTACAAATGTACTCATATCACTATAAAGAAGTAAATAAAAATATAAATTCCCAACTTGTTTTGCAAACCTTAAATTCCACTGTTTCGTTTAATGTTACTTGTCCATAATTCCAATTTTCTCCATAATTTCCTTCTTTCTGGAAAACTGTCTTCTCCATGTAGTCACCACTGCTAATATTAATGCGTAGTCTGTAAACATTCTCACCATACATGTGATACCTGGTATGGAAACACACAAAGATGTTTGATTGCTATCACATGAGGGAAAGTGCAGTTTAGATTCTTCAGGTGCTTTATTACCCATGACATTTGCTCTTCCCTTGACTATGAGAATTCCTGAAAGTGAAGGAAACGCTACAGAATTTTGTTGGCTTATTGATTAAAACAATAATAGTGCCTGCGTTGAAACACAGGTGACATTTTAGTGAAATCTAAAGTTGATGCCCCAAGAAAGGCAATGCTACTCATTAAATAAGACAGTATTTAACATGTGCTTCTCATGCTAGTAAGAAGTAACTAACCAGAGCATACCAGAAACTAAGGCAGACTGGACTCAAAGAGGGATTTAAGGGTAAGCTTAAAAGTCCCACTTGTTCTCTTCTTCCTCCCGGGCCAGTTGGTGTAGAAATATAGAATCCTGTGAAAACAATAAAAAATGTTTTCATTTACTAAATTATTGGCATCTACTTGTGTGAGATGCATTATTCCCAAAACAGAAAAGAATATTTTAGGATGAAACATTGTGGGGGTGGGCACTAAAGCCTGGGAGCACTGCACGACATCCCAGTTCTTTTTCTCTTTAAATTTTCCTATTGAGACATGATTTCTCTAAATTACTCAGACTGATCTTGAGCTTGTGGTCCTCTTCTCACACCTTCCCAAGTAACTGAAATTATAAATTATAGATGTGGACCAAAACACCCAGTGGAAACGTCCAGTACTTTCGTAGCATGAAGTGGACACTACTCTTAAATCCAGAAAGCAAGAACTCGGACACAATAAACAGCTACTTAGGAAAATTACTTCACAACTCTGTAATCTGCACTTTGATTCCATTTTACTCTACATTTTCATTAATCCACATCTTTGAGACAATCAGTGCATGAGAATGTTTAGACATACTGATTGGCTCACTCATGATTTATAGAAGCATTTAAAGACACAGCTAAAGGCAAGTTAGGTGTTCCAAAGACCCTCGGTTTTATATTCCACTGACTACACTGTTTATCTCTACATGAAAAGTTATTAGATTATATAATGGTTTCATCTTCTGCATTCCTTTGAATGACAACTAATCAGATAGCAGCAGAGCAGGAAGCATGCTAATCCATGTAAAAGCTTTAAAAATAGCACAAGTCACTGCATCAAGGGCTTTCTGTTCTAGAATTCATTATTCCAGCCAATGATTTGAGTCATTCAGAATGTGCAAAATAGAACATCTTAAGGATTTTCTTAGGGCAATTTTTGTATTCTTACTTTGTGACTCATAACAGGAAACAAGAACCAGGTGACAATAAGACATAAAGTAAATGGGATATTATATTATCCTAATTTGGCTGCAATGTGATTTTTTAAATAAATGGTTAAAGTTTAGCATTTACTTGAAAGGAAGCATCTTCCCCCTTGCATATATCAACATAAAAATGCAGGCTACATGGCCCATAAAGTTCAAACACTCATTTAAAACATGCAGATTCAGAACCAGAATTAAAAATAAGAATTGATAGAACTGTTTATCTTCTATAGTAAATAATTATATCAATAATGTGAAAAATTTTCAAAATCAATATTTATCAATATGAAATAATTTTCAAATATCTTAATAAAAGTAATATAGGTATATCAATTGGATTTTGATTTAAAGAGTAAAAGAAAAATACATGTTTAACCTTTATGTTATAAACTATTCATATTTTAGGTGTCCTGTGATATTTAATGAATAGTTATTTTAACTATTTAGCTAGTACTCAGCTATATGACCTAATGAAAAAAGAATATGTAGAACAAAAGGAAGGTTCCAGAATTCATTCCCTAAATCCCCAACTCTAAATCCATTTTGAGATGATGTTACTTTCACCATATTTTATTTCACTTGTTTAAGAAGTGGTTGGGAGGAAAAACTTAAAAACTACTACTGAATGCCATGTATAAATGCTGAAACATCTAAAGTATTCAAAAATATGTCTAGTTAGTTGCAAACGCATTGCACACACACACACATGGTGCTCCTAATTATAGGTGGCTGCTTTCATTGTCAATTGTAACCTAAACAATTTTGAGTCCATTATTTATTCACTAAACAATGATGTATTTAAAATATTTATCACAATTAAGATATGAGTTTATTTCCACATAAAGAAAATTAATTATATATATTCTAACACCTCATAGATTTTTCATAAGTGAATAAATAAGCACAGTATAACACAAGTCACATAGAATTACACAGTATAGAATATAGTAAGATGGGGCTGGCAAGTGATTCAGAAGTCTAAAGTGCCTGCTTAGGCAAGCTTAGGAAGACACAGGGGACTGTGGTTCGATCCCTAGTACCACTTGCTGTGCCAGCCCTGCCCTCAAGGTGGGCTGAGCCAGCCAAAAAAAAAAAGAATGAATATAGTAAGATAATATAAAATGCTACCATCTCTGTAAAATAAGCTAAATTCTTTAGCTAAAATACTAGAAAAGGAAAGAAATTCTATATAAAATTATGATGTAGAGAATTGTAGTTTACACAAAACTTTACATACTTGTTTACGTACTTGTCTAAAATCCCTAAATTCAAGGAAATCTATTCTTATATTTCATCTGTGGCATTTTTTCTACATAGGTCACTTGATGCATTAAAATATCAGATTCAACAGGAATCACATTCTAATGCAGCTCATTTCACTTTAATATAATCAAATGTTTTCCTCTTTTGAGTGTAATAAGCTTTCATGTATCCATTGTTTCTAATTTTGATCTCTGGGACCAGTGAATTCAAGATGTTTTTGTTAGCCCAAAAACCATTCACAGGCCACTGTCAGTGAGGTAAGAGGTTAGGACAACAGCAAGTCTGCTCAAGAAAGGGAGCACACGCTATCAAAGTCACGAAACCCAGAGCACATGTCCAGAGCAGTCTGGGAAGATTCAGCAGTTCATGAACACTGTAGGTGGGACAGGTCAGAAAGGGGCCATCCTCAATTCCTTAATTACATGTGGCTTAAAACCCAGGGAGCCTTGGACAGCTTACATCTGATGACAGGCCTACTGAGTTTCTGATAGGAAAATTGTCCTAAATATCTGATTTGCATGAGGTAGCATCATATTCCAGAGAGGAAAGAGCCCAGCCATCGCTGTGGCTACTGTAAGCCTCTTCACCAGCTTATTTTCACTACAGAGTGTATTACTTTTCCACCTTCAGAGACTAAATTCTTGCATCCTTTTCTGTGTATCTTGACTAATTTTTTTCTTCAGGGCACCAAGAATCTGGAAAAAATTACACTGGGACCCAAACATTGGTAATGTTAGGTTTCTCTTCACTCCTCATAAGACTGACTATACTGCGTTTTCGCTCTTAATAATCTTAAAGTGGTATAATTTCAGCTTGCATTCTTCTTCTTCTAAAAAAAAAAAAAAATGCATTTGGTTGTTGCAGGATCTCACTATGCAGCTCAGACTTGTGGTGATACTCCTGTCTCCCAGCTCTGGGATTACAGGTGTGCACCTCTGCCGGGATTTTGGCTGGCTCAGCATGCCCTGGGGAAAGGGCTGGCCCAGCTTGTGCTGCTGGGGATTGAACCATGGTCCCTGCACTTGCCTAAGCTTGCCTAAGCAGGCACTTTATTCTGCTGAGCTATCTTGCTGGCCCACATTCTCTTTTTATAAGCTCTCACAATCGGTTTCACTCAGCATGGTATTTTTGTTAGAGTATCTCAGTAGTTGCAGGAGAAACTGCAGCAGTAAGAATGGTGGCTTAAAGCAGACCACCCTTGGCCTACTTATTTCTACTTTCTGAATCACTTCTTTGGAAAGAATTCGTCATCACCTACACTAAGCTGTGATATTGCTTCATTGTGTGTAATATAATTGGCCTCTTTTTCCTTTTTAAATTTTTATTGTTAAACATTTGCAGTGCACAATCATTACATGCATTATGGGGTGTTGTTTTATATCATAGCTAACTAGTCCCTCATTCAAATATTTTGTTCTCTTTTGTCCTATTAAACCACGCACAAATTTACTCTGAATTCACCCCAAATAGGTTGACCTCAATACCTCCTGGCCATGATTCACATAATTCCTCTACGTATATACAGTATATTGAAAAATTTAGGTTATTTTGATATTTCTGCTTCAATTGAGCAGGCCAAAAATAGCCCAGGTTCTGATGTAGGACAGGGAAAGAACTGCCAAGGGTGCAATGCACAGTGTGTAGAGAACTTACAAAAGACTTTGGAGCAGCAGGAATGGGCAAACGGCACAGTGGGCAAGAAAGAAAAGGCTTAGTACTCTGCCTTTTAGGGTTGGACACCGCTGCCCAAGATGTCTCCCTTGTCTCTCTCTGATGCCGGCTTGGTTTATGGTGGGAAGGAGGGAAGGAAGTGGCTCCCACAGCTTCTCTGATGTAGGATTATGGAAACACAGGTAATCTTTGGGTGGTGTGGCATTCACAGTTGAAGGAAGGGAATGGAGTGGCCAGCTGAGCTCCTTTGTTTATGAACTATTTCCAAATACCTAAAATTGTATGACTTTTCTCTCTTTTCCTGTCCTTCTACATCCTGTTCAATTATGCTTTGTTAAAGTCAAACTGAAATAATGTAAAAGAGCAAAAGGTAGGTAAGAAAGAGACAAAGAAACTCATAGTGTAACAACTATACTTTTAAGAAGACTGCAACTTCACAACACAAGGTTACCCCAGGTCGTCCATACCCAGACTCCAAAGGCTCCCTTTTTCTCTTTTACTTCCCGGCCTTTCACTTCCCAAATCCCTCAGTCATTCTATAACCTATAAATTAGCTCAGTTGATAGGGTACAAGACCAAAACCTGACTTTAAAAAACAGAAACAGACTCTCTTTCTTTTTGCAGAACCAGGGATTGAACTCAGGCCCTTACATTTGCCACGGAAGCACTTATTCCACTGAGCCATTTCCCCAGCCCTCAGAAACAGACTCAAAGTTTCAAATAACTTTTTTAGGCACAACATCCTGGATTACCCTTTTAAAAAATAAAATAAAAATTAACAGATGAAGACCTTGATTTTTTCCTGTAAAATGCACTGTGTTTTCAACAGTAAAAGAGCTAGTATTTTTTCTAACCATGTGGGGCTGGCTTTTGTCCTACAAATCAAGCCCAAACTTTCTGTAAATACACAGATTGTGCAGATTTATGCTCCTTCAAATACATGAATATCCTCCATTCCAGAATAAAGAGCCCACACTTTTAAAGGTCCATGCTCTATTTCTTCGAGTGTGTAGTTTTAATTCTGTCTAATAAGTTGCTTTATGCCTCTTACTAGTGTGTCCTGAGACTTCAGTTGTCTTGCGATGGGAAGCACAGCTCTGCAGCTGCCCCATGGTGGGGTGAGCCGAAGCACCTGCCTCCACTCTGGGACCCGATGCCGACCTTGTCCAAGGATGGTGATGACACGTGCG